GAGCTTCCATATTATGAGAACATGGTGTTCCCTTCAAGTTCTGGCTCATGTCACTCACGAAGATCTGGAAGTACTGGGAAAACCAATGTGTGTAAAGGCTGTTTCCATTTGTCCTCTTTTGAGATGGTAAAGATAAGCAGGGAGGTGCTGGATTCCATTTAGAATGACATTGCGCCTCCTTCCTTTCTGGTAACGTCTCTGGACAAATAAATTACCTTTGGGGCTCAAAATATTCCAGTGATTGGGGTTTTGAATACTGAAAGTCTTTTGCTTGGTTGTGCAGATTTTTGGCTGCTTTCATTTCTGTCGATGATTTTCAGTGCTCTTTCTGAGGTTTGGGAGAGGTGTGCAGAATAGCTTTGGAGGGGTTTTCCTCATGGAACCTCACATTCCGGGTGTACACAGAAAGCCATTTGCAAAGTTGTGGCAGAAACGACGTGTCTCTTACTACAACTTCTAACAATCTGTCTCAAGCGGTAGGAGAGAGAAGATTGTTCTAGGTGACTACCAAGAGGTTTTGAAATAACCAGGTTGGTAATTACTTCAGTTTTAACAAGACCTTTACATCCTCTGTGAGCTTTTCCTCAGCAAGTATCCATCTGAGGATATGAATATCCTTACCTCATGAAAAACATCCTTTAAGACTAGTACCCTTCCGTTTTTCTTCAGCATTAAAAGCTGTAGAACATATGTGAATACTGTCCACCACAAACCTCAGGATCTTAGTCACTGAAGACATGAATGAAATTATTTAAATTGTCAAATAGCACAATCTAAATATAGAGCTAAAGTATCTTCACCTCTGGTTCACAGATGATGCAAATTCCTCAAAGAGCATAAACTTAACCAATTCAGAGTGCTGTCCAGAACCTCTCCTTGGGGAAGGACATATATTACATGTAATAAATGCTTTCTTGGCTTTGTCCTTCTCTCCAGTGATTTCTTGCATGGTGAAACTGTTGCATTCTTAAATTATTTGAAGGAACTGCCTTGGTGTTGATAGCTTTGGCTCCTTTTTTTACATATGTGATGGTGACAATTCTGAGGAGCTGGAACAGAAATAAAGCTTGCTTTATGGGCAGGAGCTAGGATTGGCCATGGTGCAGTTGTTTCATGGTTATGTCAGGAAAAGCTTGTTTTATATAATATTTTGCTTTAAATACATGAAATATGGAATAATTTTCCTCACTTTAGCATTTGTTGTCCTCCAGATGCAAATAAGGCCTACTCAGACTTGTGCAGTTATGGCAACTGTATATGCAAATTAGATGCACATTTGCACAGCTGCCCTCGTGCTAACAAGCACCTAAAAGCCAGTCAGTCCATCCAATTTTATGTTGCGTTGTCTCCGTCAGCCTAGCTTTCATCACCAATTACGGCTAACATCTGTGCCAGTATGCATGTGTGTCTAGCTGTAATCCCCTAACACGCTTGGTTTATATGCACACATCTGACTTGAAAAATGTCCTTTACATTTTTGGAAGCCTACATCAGCTTCCTTTTATAACATTATCCTAAGTTATACAACAGTATATGTCTCAGTGCCTCATTTTCAAGTTATGCGAAAAGCTTAGAAACACACAGAGCAATATAGACTAAGTTATATTAAAAACAAGTGTTTTCTTCCTCTTGAACTGCAGTTGTATTGCCCTTGATCACAGCCAGGAGATGAGTGAGCAGAGAAAATAACTCCATCTTGAAAAAGGTTTCATCATTGATTGTGAATTACAGAAAATGAGTAATATTTTTTTAATTTACATGAAAGATTATTTTGAAAGGGAGCATTAGTTTCTGTGACAACTAAAATGTCTTTGTCATTCTGGAGTAGTTGGACATTTTCCCTTGCTCTCTGCCCTGTTATAGCCTTCTTAATCAAAGTCTCCTGCTGTCATGTCCCTAGGGCAGTATCATGCTGTTCTCTCATTTGTATACCTGCTCTAGCAGGGGGCTTGGACTAGATGGTCTCCAGGGGTCCTTTCCAACCCTACCATTCTGTGATTCCATGATACTTGCTGCAGCTTTTCTGTGTGCCAGTCATGCTTTTACCCACAAATCTTATGGCACTCTCTTCATTTAGTTCACTTCCCTGCAGAACCATGACCGGAATACACCACAGTGACCTGAAATACATTATTTTTAATATCTGTCCTCTGGAGAAGGACTCTGATGGGTTCGTTTTTCTCAGGCATCCAAGTCTCTAGTTTATCTTATTTCAAAACACCGGTTCTTGTGATCTCTCCAGAATATGTTCCCCTAAATACCTCTCTCTTTATGCTCTTCTCTCGGCCCAAAGATAAGCTCAGCAAGGTGGCATAGGTAACTTGCCCTTGTTATTGGTCCTGAATTTCTGCTGTTAGTTTCTTGGGTGGTTTGCTATCACTTATCCTTGGGTTTATCTCCTGAGCACCTAGTAAGTGAGTCAAGACATTTGGAAAGACAAGTCAGAAAGTCTACGCTACTTGGACAACTTAAATAGAACCTACAGTATTAAGAGAGTATTACAGGTAAATTCAGTCATCACAACAATGATATAAATTATGTATGAGGATAGGTGTGCACATTCTAAAGTGACAATATCTTATTTAAATGCTCTGTCAGCTTTTTATTAAAGCTCTATATACAAATAACATAAATTATAAAAATATTAGTGTATTAACAAATGATGAATTAAGCATAATAGACTTCAAGAGGTTAATAGGTTATTAAATGTATGTATATCCTTGTAGAAGACCTTGATGTAGTTACAACTCCTTGTAACAAATACGAAGTTTACAGTATGCCCTAAACCAGCTCTTCATCATTTTGCAGCCACTAATTTACCTAAAGATGCAGACATCCAGAACTTGACTGGTGAAGGACCAGTGTGACAGGAAACAGATTTCTACTGTCAGCATTTCTTTATTCTTCTGTAGACAATAAACAACTTAGTGTTGGCAAACATGCAGTATAAAACAGTCTTGCACAATCTTCAAACTGCACAACTCTCATGGGCATGAGAGCTCCAGCTCTATGGATTTTCAGATGTTTGGACTGCTTACTTTAGAAGAACAACGTTATTTATACTACTGGTATCACTAAGTGTAAAATTAGCACTGGGTAACCTGAGAAGCCAGTGCCCAGGTTCTGTCCAGTCCTTTCCATCAGATCGGGTTCATGTTGAAGAAGTAGTGATCCCTCAGACCTGCTTGCTTTGGTCCCCTTGCCACTGACTGTTTTTGCATGGTGGCTCCTTCCACACAGACCAGAGCAGATTTCTTTTGCCAAGAACATTTGTGTGCATCTGTGAGAAAGTACTTTTACCCCTCTGCACAGCTTTTTGAATGTATCAAAACCCTTGGACATAAAGAGCAGCTCAACACAACACAATGAAGGTGTCAGTCTGATTACCCTGTACATGGATGTTATTGGGGGTTAGATGTGGGGAAGGAAGAATAGGGTGTTTCTGGTGCTATGACAGCTCTTAAAAATATGCTCATTCTCATGGTATCTCAGTGGGAAGCTCTGCATTCAGGGATGTAACTCACTCTATATGCTGTTTATTTTCTCATGCTGGCTTTGTTTCATGTTCCATGGAATGTCTCTGTTAGGCAGTGTACTTTTTCATTTGGGTGAGGAAATCACCTTGCACTTGAAGCAGAAGGTGGTGAGATTTACAATGATTTGTAGATTTTGTGGGGCATTCAGTCTGCAGAGTTGGACTGGCAGCCATGACAGCTCTGGATGTGCACAGACAAGCTTTGCCTGTACTGTGCAGTCTTAGGTTCTTAAAGAGCCAAGTTGCTGACCACAGAATTCAAACAGGCTTTTTGAACACTCTGTTGTTTTCAGTACAAAAAAAACCGTTCCAGGTGGAGGACATACTACCTGTGAAAATAAAATTACAATGCTGGGCAGCAAGTGGAGTTGTGCTCTGCACTGTCTAGAGGCAGTCTGGATTTATCCAACTATTTGCTGTCTGGGACAGTTCTACACAGCATGAGGTTTCTGGCTCTGTAACCATCTGCAGTTCTTGGATTTTGTATCTGCTTAGGGCTTTTTTTCCTCTCTTTTGGTGGTTTTCTTTCCCGTCCTTACTCTGTCTGATTCTCAGAACACCAGGCAATCTTCACAGAAACAGATGCTAAATAGTCTGTAGCAACAGTAAAGGAGCACCTGGACTGCTGTATTTTAAGAACGTTTCTATTTTCAAATTAATTGTCTTGCATATATTTTAGTAAGTGGTCATGGAAACAAAAGTGACACAGTAAATCGAATTAAAAATATCAAACCCTGCATCAGCATTTCAGACACAGACTGACGCCTAAAATCAAGAGTTACTTTGGTGTTCTTCAATTTGTGTAGTCTAGCTATTGGAGAGAGGCGGAAACTCAGAGTATACCTATTTCTCCTGTGCGTTTCCTCTTGGCCTATGAGGTTTATGGCCAGGGAGACTTTGAATAGCACTCATACTTAGGCTTGTGATTTGAAGAAACAGTTTGCAGATGAGTGTGGGCTATTTAAGAAGGATTTTTTTAGTCCATAATTTCTGCAGGTTGGCCGACAGCCCCAGAAATACGGCCCCACCTGCTTCAGTTTGCTTCCTTTGGGGTGGCTTCTGCTAGCAGCCCTGATGTTCTGGGATAGCATTTGTTCCACCAGGATGAGGAGCGCAACCGCTGGTAGCCCTGGAGAGGGGTGCATTGGCAGCGGGATACACAGAATCCCTCTGCTCTTGATTCCTGTGCAGGCCAGAAGAACCTGACTTTCTGTACAGTTACTGACTCAAATCTATCCCTGGTGTTATCCCTGTTATGACTTAATAGTCTGTATTTGGCTCATTAACATTTTAACGACGTTCTTCTTGAAGAGAGAATGTTTTGTGGAAATTGCAGATTTAGGGTGTTTCTAGGAAGATAAGTTTATTTCCAGCTAATATGAACCACAGCTCACTGGGACTTATGTAATGCAGCCTGTGTTAAAAGTGTGATTGGTTTTATATCCTATTTTCTTTCTCCCCTCAGAGGATTATGCCCAGCTGTGCAACATTCCTGTTCCAGGGTCTCGACGGCCATATGGACAAGATGCTTTGGTTGACTTCGAGGAGCACTACACTCCAGAAACTAATCCATACTTTGTTGAAGACCGTAAGCATGTTTCTCTGTTATGTAAAATAACTGAAAGGAGGGTTGTAACTTGGATAATTTCCCTGTAGCTGGAGTCATTCTCCTGCTTGTTTCTGAGTACTGTGGCCTATTTATGTTTTAGTTATTCCTATGACACTAGCTTTCGGTCAGGTGTTCTGCTTCAAGGGCCAGTACTGTACAGTACAGTCCAGTTGGGCTCTGAGTACAATACTAATTTTAAATATAGTGAAATAGCTTGTGCCAAGTGTACTACATTTGTATTTACCAACAGATTTACAGCTAAACGTTGAAAGGATTGCCAGTTTTTCTTCTCACAAATTAATTTTCCTTTGGAGCATGGGACAGATTTCTTCGGAGTGTATTTAGTTTAAAAGAAAAAAAAAATAATTCGCACCAGTTTTCCATGATTTTCCAGCAAAATTTATATGGGGGAAATGGAGAGCGTGCAAGTTGTTCTCACTCAACAGAGAAAATTTACAGTACAGTATGACCAGAGAGTATGCCTTTAGGTTAGATAGAACGGCCTGTCAAACAGGATGCGAAGGGTTGTACACAGCATCTCAGTCGTAATATCAGGGTTCTTTATGTGTCTGGCCCAGCTCACTGTTAAGACTTGTGGGAGAGGGATGCATACGGATCTCAGCATCTTCCTCAAAATCAGCCATGCTGTATGGGTCTAGCGTATTTCATCACAGTTTTAGAGAAGAAAAGCGGAAGTATCGGAAGGGACTGCTAACTTCCTGTGCTTTTTATGCACATGGCCTACAATTTGCCCCTATGCTCTTTCCCAAGGTGCTTCTCCTGTACAAGGAGTTATTTTTATAGTAACAGTAGTAGGTCAAAACAGGACAGGAGGATTACAGCACGCTGTTAGAAGGCTGATAGGCATTTCTTGTGCACAGCACACTTCATCCATTTCTACCTAACTACACATACCAGACTAATAATTTCATTTCTATTTAGCATCTAAATGACCTCCTATCTCTACACAGAATTGTGGTTTTATGTCCAGATGATTTTAATGTGAGTACTGAGTGTTGATGTCTAATTAAAACATCACACACATGCTAAAAAACACCAAACATGATGAAAAGCCGAGAAAGGTGACTGGGTAACCAGTGTGACAGATAAAATCCTGAGCAGGAAAGAAGCACTTAACAAGTTATAAGCAGCGGTGAATAAATATGATAAAATTGTGGACAGTTTTGAATTCACAGCTGAGTCCACTGGCTTAGGGACAGAGGCTTAAGAGCTTGTGTCCCTTGCTTCCATCCTATCACTGAATCAGATGCAGTGGCAAGCAAATGCGTTACAAACTCCAACGCACACAGCTGTATGACTGCCCTGATCAGAGGCATCTCCCCTGACATACAGTTGCCACATGTTTAGGTCATCAAAGACTTTAAATTCACAATCCTGCTGTGGTCCATATGAGGAGCAGGACCTCCCATCCATGGCACGGCCATGTACTTCAGTGGAATACATGTCACCTGTGTGCAGTCAACTTCTACAGAACCAAATACACGTATTAGAATTACAACCCAGGTGCCATCTAGCTGTTTCAAAGTACAGTGTTTTTGTGAAATAGAACTTTTTGTGTGTGATAAATATTTTGGTTTTACATAGTTAAAATTACAACATACTGCATTTATGAGAGAGAAAAATATATATGAATGCATGTACATAGGCATGTACATGCATATATATGTGCCTATCTACTATATGTCAAATAAGTGATGCCTTTTCTTTATTTAGAAAATATCACAGAATCACAGAATGTCAGGGGTTGGAAGGGACCTCAAAAGACCATCTAGTCCAGCCCCCCTGCCAGAGCAGGATCACCTACAGTAGGTCACACAGGAAAGCATCCAGGCAGGTTTTGAATGTCTCCGGAGAAGGAGACTCCACAATCTCCCTGGGCAGCCTGTTTCAGTGCTCTGTCATCCTCATAGCAAGAAAGCTTTTCCTAATATTTTTGTGGAACCTCCTGCGTTCCACCTTGTACCCATTGCCCCTTGTCCTGTCATTGGACGTCACTGAAAAGAGCCTGGCACCGTCCTCCTGACACTCCCCTTTGACGTATTTATAAACATTTATGAGATCACCCCTCAGCCTCCTCTTCTCCAAGCTAAAGAGACCCAGCTCCTTCAGCCTTTCCTCATAAGGGAGATGTTCCACTCCCTTCATCATCTCTGTGGCTCTGCCCTGGACTCTCTCAAGCAGTTCCCTGTCTCTCTTGAGCTGAGGGGCCCAGAACTGGACACAGTATTCCACATGTGGCCTCACCAGGGCAGAGTAGAATTGGAAGGGGCACCTTGCAAATTTCTTACCACAAATTTCTTACCACATGACAGTCCACTCAATATCCTCAATACTGTTGCAGTGAGATATGATTTACTAGATTTGTGGAAAAGATTGGAATGTTTTCCACTTAATGTACACTTCTGTACCTATGTATTATGTATATTTTTGAAACGTGGCATATGTCAGCAAGTACTTATGTCACCTTATGTGTTCAGCATCTCCAGAATTTATTCAGTGTATGACTGACCAGCGTGATCCTTACAGAGAATCCCACCACGCTAGAGAAAATCCAGAACAGAAACAATGCATGTAGTCAAAGAGACTGGGGAGTGGAAATGACAGTAGAAAAGTTAAGTGGAGGGCTATAGAGGAAGAGCAGAGTAGGAAAGGCAAAGCAGGACAAGAGAAAAGAGGGCCTCAGGAACCAAGACAGGATGGAGTAAATATAAAAAGACAGGAGAAAAGCACAAGGAAAGGGAGAAATTCCTAGGTAGCTTTGCAAAGCTACATATCAGAACTGTTTCAACAGTATAAATCAGTACAGAGGTTATAGATAAACCAGTGGTTTGTTTGCGGAATCACTATATTAATTGTATGTTATGGGAAGATGTATCCTACTCTATTCCACTCCAGCTTCAATTTCTCATCCATTTCTATGCTGTATATTTGTCATCCTGGTAAACCTAGACTCTCAAATGTTCTCAACAATTTACTCAAGTCTTTTTGATGTGATGGGCTGCCACCTGCAGTCTTGTTACATCACTGCTCCACAGACAGAAATCTAGTGAAAAAAACTTGTACAGGTCTAATAGGATCATCTCAGTCCTAGAAGAATCTCTGAACATGTAAAAATGTCTATTTCTTAAGTGTAGAACCTTCCTTATACATAAACGCATAACTGTCAAAAAAGGCCCTAAGACAGGGAGCACAAGGCATTGTACAAACCACTGAGTACAAAGACAACTCTTTAGCTTTGCCTATTCACCATCTAGAATTATGACGAGGAGCAATTGTTAGATTATAGGTATCGGTACTGGCACCAGTCGCTGAAGTACCAGCCAAAGGGTTCTTAACCAAAACCACAACAGGAAAGCAGCCTCTGATTTCTTCTTACTGTTATTATGGCAACTGAGATTGTTTGTTGGGGTGCATTTTTATGTTTTCTTCTAGATAAAACAGAATGTATCTCTTCCCCCCTAGACAGCTCTTATTCTTCTAGAATACTGTTTTAAGGAACTTCTACCCCCAATTGCACTACCACTTCTTACCTTTGTTTCCATAAAGATTGATACACATAAGAGTTTAAGTAAAAGGTACTATTTAGAAAACAGATTTATCCTTTAAAAAAATACACTGTCAGATTACTCAGTTTCCTTTACAGAAATATCTCGATTTTTAACACGAATTTAAGAGTTCACAAAGTTCTTCAGTTTTCATCTTGAAACATACCACAGCACTTTTCTAGTGCATTTAAAACTCCAGATGGAGCAGATCTGCTAAAGCTGACCTATTTTCTGCAAAGTCAAGTCACATTCCAGTAAACTTCTGAGAGGATTTCAGACTCTCAGCTCTGTAACCTACTTGTTTGCAATTCTTTCTTTACCCAGGTTTTCTGAACAGCTTTGAGGAGTTACAAGCAGAGGAGTGTGGTATTCTGAATGGATGTGAAAATGGTCGATGTGTAAGAGTCCAGGAAGGCTACACCTGTGACTGCTTTGATGGTTACCACCTGGATATGGCCAAAATGACCTGTGTTGGTGAGGACAGCATATTACTTCACCTTCTGGTAGTCTGTCAGTATACTCAGTCGCTTGACCTATGGAGGGGCTGGAACAAAGGGGTTAGAGACAATTGCCCAAATTGTACTCAAGATGCTAACTTTGTCTGAGTTACTGCAAAGGCCAGTAAATATTGTGACAGAAATAAATAATGTTGATGTTCCTCAGTTCATCTTGGTCATTACAGCTCTAGTGAGTTAAGAGCCTAGAAATGAGCAGACACACATTGTGTAACGAAGCTTAAACTTGTATCAGTAATTTAATGCTAATATAGAGAACAAGTATTTTTCAAATGCTTTAGTGAGCTAAGAGGATGGAAATGGATCCAGAATAGAAAAGTAATTTTAGAAGCAGTTTTTTAGAGCAGTTGAATCGCCTATATATGCACATAACCACTTGGTGGGGTTTGGTCCTTGATTCTCACTATTTCAACAGTCAACAGACTCACCTATTACTCTCATTCTCAAACTAGTAAATCTGCACAACTGCTGACTGGGACATCTAATAACTATGTCTTCAGTTAAAACAACAAAACATGGGAACAGCAAGTTCAGCAAGTCAGTGAGAAGATGAAGCAAAACAGCACCCCTCTGCGTAGGAGCCTAGTAAAGACTGTGCATGGGTATTTCAGGTTTAAGGTCTGTAGTAGCCTTGCTGAAGCGGCATGCTTTGTAATCCACAGCTGGGTCTCCTGGCTGTTTCATGGTAAGCTGCATGCGTGCTCTGTAATCTTTAAGACTTCATGGCAAGCTGGCCTCCTTAGCAAGAAAAGATGTAGCTCCTGTGTATTTCAGGCCAGTGCTGCACAATATGGAGTGCAGGTAGTTTGCTGTTCACAACTCTTTAGTTAACATCAACATCTTGTAAAGTATTTGAATTTTAAAAATACAGATACAGTATTAAGAACTTGGAGCTTCTATATTAATAAGCCACTTTTTAGTCATCAGGTAAAAGCCTGTAAGTGGCTATTAAATTTTTGGTTTGCAGTTTAGGCTGAATTTGGACATGGTAGTCTGACAGCTTGAAGTCATTTAATACACTATTGATTTCCTACAATAACTTCTGCGTCTTCCCAACTCATCTGTTACAGCTTTTGACCCAGCCTCATTCCACCTGATCAAAACTGAGAATGAAGTTCTCAGTGTCTTCATACAGCACGTTCTACTCGTGATAATGCTGGAAATGAGTTTTACCTACACACCACACTTAAGTACGTGTCTTTTGATGTCCCCTTTTTGCAGATGTGAATGAGTGCAACGAGCTGAACAACAGGATGTCTCTCTGCAAGAACGCCAAATGCATTAACACAGAAGGTTCGTACAAGTGTTTGTGTCTCCCAGGGTACGTACCTTCAGACAAGCCAAACTACTGCACACCACTAAACTCAGAACTAGACAGTGAACTGGAGTAGAGGAAAAATCTCCGTATCCTAAGCCCATATACTCTGCACTGTATAAAGAACAGGAAGAAAAGTATTTAACTTGAGAAGAGAAGGCACCAGAGTAGCAAACGTAAGAGGAGAAAAGCATTAAAATGTGTCAAAGGTGAGACATAATGGGCTGATTGTAAATCAGCTTCACCGAAGTGACAGACCAAATGGACACATTACTCTGTATGAAAGAAATAATCAAGTATATAGTGTATTCAGAAGAAAAAAATCTTTGAAAATAAGCAAAAACAGTGCTGTTATTTTAAACAGAAGAGCTTTGGGTTTTTGTTTGGTTTTTTTTTTTTAATATTGCTTGGTTAATTTGGCATTTAAATAGTGATGGAGATATTTTATATTACTATGTCATTTTTTGATTGTTCAGTTCCTTGCCTACTGTTTCTTTTCAGACCTTTTTTTCTGAGCAGTACAAATTCTATGATACAGATATTCTTAGGCCATTTTATAAGAACTGTTAGACAGGGTAATGCTCCTCCTTCTCTGAAACAGTGGTCAGTGACTTTTTTTAATTTGCTAGTTGTCTGCCCTGTGGAGCAGGCACCATTTATTTTCAAATGTTTATATACCTTGGCGAAAAGTCTTTATATTCATTTTGTATTCTGTATGGTTGTTACTGCACTTAAAGTCTTTAGAACATTTCTTGCCAAGTTCAAAGCTGCTAGTGGACAACATTGGAATGATTCCTTTTGTACATTAAAGCAAAAGATTTTAGCTCACGTTTGTATTGTAATGTGTAAATTGAACACAAGAGAGATCTTGTATGATTACCCTAACATATTAAAGCTGTATATTAAAACTCAATAAAATCACCTTTTTTTTTAGAAAAAAGATACTTACTAATTGTAGGAATTCATTTTTCTTTTATTGGTGTTTATGTTACAAGTATCAATGCCTCAAGTGTTTACAGTACTAGAATTAATTTACATTGTAGTTGTTATAGGGAGTTGTCTGGCTGGTTTTTCCTTCTCATACTGTTTTAATAAGACCAGAATCTGAATTAGTTAATGCCTGAAGTCAGGCTTCCAAAGGGAAGATTTCAAACACAGACCTGCAGAAACTGTTTGACTTGGAAGCTGATTCCCATGGAATTTTTCTTCTTTCCTAGTTTAGGCATGTTTCCCACTAAATCTGCAAATAAGAATCTTCAGAAAATACTGAAGAGAAGGGGGAGAATTTGTTTTCTTGATGAACTTTATCTTCTCATCAGCTCTATTTTTCACTAGGAGTTGGGAAAGAGATTAGGAGACTTGACAGATGTTTCACTTCGACCTTCTCCAGGGTGAGAGAGTTTGCTTTGGAAATCCCGAAACATGTCCTTTTGATATTTTCCAAATTAAAACATTTTTGCTGTGTCTTTTAGACCTGCCTTGCATTTAAAGGAAAATGATAACATGAGACTTTTTAAGTGAGTCAAATTAGGTCCAATTGTCTGAAAATGAGATTTTTATTTCTTGTTTCACAAAAAAAAAAATAAATACTTGGTTTGGTTCTGAATCAGATTTGTCTTCCAATATTTAGGTCGGCCACTGAACCAGAAATATGATAAGTTTTATTCCTTTTAGTTCTGTGCACTCAGTAGATCTCATTAAAGCCCATGTGCCTGTTTAATGTGCAGAAGCACCTGTCCTTCGAAGGGCCCCTCCTACCTATCTGCTGGAATTTGACACTAGTGAGATATTGTATGTTTAAGATCTGGTTATATGTTAAAAGGCCAGAAGAATTTCTGAATAAAACTGGGGGGGGGGATCATTAAGGAAGAGACTCTTTGTAAAGTACCCAACTCCCTTGACTTTTCTAGAATTAAGGAGGAGAATAGTGGATGACCAGTCAGTCTTCTCAGTCAAAAGAGGTATGCTACAACACCAGAGCTGGTCTGTAATTACCAAAAAAAAAAGATAATTCTTGCTTACTTGCTTTGGTTAAGTAGGAAGGAAGGCCTGCTCTTACTGTGGAATTCCATAACTACAGAGCTGTTAGTTGTCCTGCTAAGAGTAATGCTATATGATATTAATAAAAAACAAAATCACAGTTACAGCCTTTCACTGGATTCAAGATGACTTCTGGTCTGCTTTCAGCCAACTTGAAAATTCATAGATGAGACAGTGCTTCCCCCCACTTCCACTTCCATCCAGCCTCCTCCTGCTTCAGAAACTGGTTGTGTTCACCTCTGCAATACTGCCTGGGCCCCAGAGCTGCTATTGCAGTTGGCACCACAGACTCCGATTTTCAGCATCCCAGTACTTCAGTCCTTCCCCAGTTAGGGAGTTAAAATGGCAGTACAAGTCTCCCCTTTTCCTGGGAGAATACCACTATGACAGCTGAGGAAATGGAACTCAAACTTCAGTACCCTTAAAAGTCTTCAGCTGAGGACAAACACTGTATGGAATGTGTAATTTTGAACCACAAGACTGGCTCCTTGCTGATCTATTACATCTTTTTAAAACAAGTTTAGAATAGCCTGGGACTTTGCCATTCTCAGATAGACACTTTGACCCCCTTACTTTGTGTTATTTCAGACAAAAAAACCACAACCCAAATCCAAGCTGTTCCATGAGCAAGAAAACTAAATCTGAAATGAAGCCTGAATTCCTATAACCTTTCCTTGGAAGTCCCTCTTCAGCAGACCAGCTCCTTGCATCTCCAACACTTTCAACAGGCACAGGCAGCACCCACCTGCTGTGGGCGCCAGGACAGGGTGGCAGATGCAGATGCATTGACACAACTGCTGGAAACCAAATGTTGTCCATGCTCTTAGCAGGGAGGGTTAGCTGGGTCACTTGTCCGGAGTTGTTCATCAAACTTCACCGACCTCAGAGTTCTACTGGCCTTTTCATCTCATTTGCCTTACAGGTTGAAATTGGTCACGGGGTTAGAAGTTACCAGTGTGTTCAGAGAGATGGCATATGCTGGGTCGTTTCCACAGAAAACAAACCAACTAGCAAACCTAAGCCTAAGTGGCCTCTTGCCCTATTGATTTCTGTTACCAGCAATTCACAAAAGAGGTTTTGGTGTGTCCAGCCACTTTCCATCTCCCCTGCCTGATTCAAGAAGACAGCAGTTGACCCAAGCCCTGAATGAAGCTTGAAAAAAATCTTCTGGTTCAATAACCATGTCCTCATCACAGCTACTCTCTTCTATTACAGATGCTATATAAGCAAACAATGTATTTTTTTGCATGCTTCTGCCTTTCCTTTTTGCCTCTTCTTACCTCTAATGTGCCTTAAAAAACACATCCAAAACCAGACCAAACAGCCTAAACTACACTTGCATCCCAGTGCTTAGTATTCCACATTGCCTGGCTCCAGGCCTTCAGAAATGCTTCAACAAAGAACCACCATTGAAGGAATTAAATGAAATTTAGCCCATCTGACCTCAGCCTCTGAAGCCCACCTACTTTGCCCCAGACTAGCAAGGCTGGTTCTGTCATTTCACCTGAGAAGCTGCAGGGCTTAGGAATACGATTTTGATTCATAGTTAAACAAACATTTTCTTAACATTGTTAAGGTGAGGGATTGGATGCCTTGGCTGTAGCCATTTACTTGTTACAAGAGCTGCGGTTTAGGTGAGAGCCCTCAAAATACAGAAACCACCAAGCACAATTCCATGTTTCAAGTTTCTGAGTGCAGCAGGATCTGGAACTGATTACAATGTATATGAAATGGCACCAATACTTTTTACATCCATTTGGACCCTTAAAAAACAAAAAAAAGTTAGTCCTTTTTCAGCCAGCCGTTTCCTTGCTACAGAAAATAAAATTGCTGACATGTTAAAACTGAATTCTGCTAGTTCCCTTACAATGCTGCTGTGTTAATGAGAATGCGGTTACTACAGAACTAGTTACACTTCAGCTAGAAAGACGTTTGATATGAATAGATGCTTTCATGTTGGGATGCTATTCAGTGAAAAATCAGCCAATGTTAAAACTATTCAAAGTGAGCACTAACATTCCTTGGGAAAAGACAGTCACAGCTGGACAGATCATTTCAATTCAAGAGACAAAACTGGCAGTCATGAGAAATATTCAGCTAGTTAGCGGCAACTGACACACTCAAATAAATTCCTGAGTAAAAGAAGTCCTAAAACACTAAAGACACCCAAGTGGTTGTCACGACCTATTAGCTCAAAGTGATCCCACCCCTCATGGGGGTTTGAATCTGAGTTTGGCAGCAGAGGGGCTCCTGGCTTTGGCATTCTAATCTAACTTCTCAAAAGGAAAGGTGACAGACCCCATTAGAGTGTGTCACAGGCCTAATCTGGCCAGCAATTAAACCTCAGTGCATTCCTTCAAAGTGCACAGCAAACTTAAAAACCGCACTGCTGCCTCTAGAAGAGACTACAGTATTGTTCTTTTAATAACACCACCCACTTTGAAGAGTGTACTTGCCAGGGGACTCTTTTAACACTAAGCAGACCGAGAGAGCTATTAAGGAGCCATTCAAGCAAAGAAGAGGTGACCTGCTGTGTCACAGAGGCTGCTGCTCATTTCTGAGATTATTACCTGATATTTATATAATTTTTTTCTATCAGAATATTTGAAATTTACCTAGGGGAGCAAAGTGATGTGTCCAAAAGAGAAGCAGAATAACTAAAGAATGACTGAGTCAGGAACATCAGCCATTTGCCAAAAGCTTCCCAATGAGTGACAATGTCAGATTGTGAGAGAGTAACAGTGTTCTTTGGGAGAATGCCAAGGAATGGGCTACAGTCACTGCATTCACCTGCATTCACCAGGAATAACCTCACACAGCAGAGCTAGAAAATTTGGGCTCTTCTGGGGCAGCTGGCACAGGCTGCATTTGCACACCAAGCTCTGAAAGATCTTGAACCTCAACACCACACTGCCCCCACCAACCTTTTACCATTTGAGCGCCTGTGCACCAGAAAGAGTTATCCTGTAACAACCTGCATGAACATCTGGTGGGGATGTAAACCAAAGAAAGGCAGGATGTCAGCCATGTCAAATTTTCTTTGAGACCACGGAATCACCAGCCACATATTTTGACTCAGAGACTCCTAATGGAAGTCTTCAGGCTGCATGTTGTGTCCCAGCTGTGCCTGGGGCTTGTGATGGGAAGATACCCCTGTGCCTCAGCAGGTGAGCAGCCTCACTGAACTTTGAAGTTTCCCCTGCCCAAAGCAGGAAATTGCACTAAGGGCTTCCAGAGGTCCCTTCCAAGCTGCATTTTTCCCATGAGAACAGGTGGTGGCCTGACACATCAGCCGCTTCTCCCTATACTTACACGGATAGGGAACCTGACAGAGGGGATATGACCCCTTCCCCTTCTTTTCCACACCTGAGCATATACCAGGAGTGTGCCTTTCATTTAGAGCAAACAGAACATCTGTCTGCTCAGCCCATCGCAGTATAAGCCCATCCAGAAGGAGCATTTGGCACACTGTGCGCTGTTGCTTGCTATCAGCAGTATGTTCTTCAACAGTTAAGAGGCAATGTGAGGAAATTCTGCAGTAAAGTTTTTGTCCTGACAAAAGACACAGTGGAGACAGGAAGTTTTGATATTCTTATTTCTTTCTACACGGCCTTTCCGTCTCAAGTCATGCTTCACCACACACTGCTTTCCATTAGCTCTGAACCAAGGGAGATGGAGAGGATACTGCTAGCCAGCATGGAAAATTTCTACGTGACGATTTCAGCATCACCTCCAATCCCTATCTACTCATGCTGCCAGGATCCATTCCGGGGCTGGATTTTTCCAAAGCACTCCATATTGATTTAGCTTTCCTCCCACTGAAACCTGTGGTACCTCCATGGATTCCAGTGGGAGCAGAGCAAGAGCTGTGCCAAGCTCTTTTGAAAAAAAAATCCCAC